CAAGTGCCAGGCTGTGGATAAAATTTGGTTTCTATCCCTAATGAGTTGAAATTAAGGGAAGAGAAGGGTAAGGGGACCACGGGCAGAGAACGAAGACGAGGAACTGCGATACAGCGTGATAATTGTCAGTATGGAAACTGGGGAAGAATTCATTGGGACTGGTGTAGCGAGAGAGTTGGAGTAATGAAAAGCTTCCAAAGACTGGAGTCTTAGCTGCATCCTGCACTATGGGGAAGAGAGTGTTAGGTGGGTGAAGAAGTAGGTAGAAAAGACAGGAGGACACTGCAGTCAGAGGCAGGCAACTGCATGAGAGTCTGGCAGTATAGACAGCGTGGCAGAGGAGCGGGAAGACGGCTTCCTGTGCAAGCACGAGGACCCGAGTTCATATCCACAGCGCCCCCATGGAAAGGCAGGCATAGCTGTGCCTTACTGTTTCAGCAGCATTGGGAATCAAAGACTGTGGGTCCAACGAGTCCTTGGTTGGCCAGCCTTGCCAAAATGGCAAGGTTCCTGGTCAGTGAGAGAGCCTATCTCAAGGCAGTAAGGGGGGCAATTGGTGTCTTGTTCTGGCTTTCTCATGAGCACATGTAGGCACATGACCCCCTACAATCATGTACATGCAACACACACACACACACACACACACACACACACACACACACACACACACACACACCCCACTATGAAAAGAAGAATAAGAAGTTAAAACAATCTGGTCATGGTGGTACATTCCCTCAATCCCAGCACTAAGGAGGCAGAGGTAGGAAAACCTATGTGAGTTCAAGGCCAGTCTGGTTTATATAGCAAGTTCCAGGCTAGCCAGGGGCTATATAGTGAGGCCTTATCTCACCACCACCACCACCCCCAAAAAACAAAGAAAACATAAATTTAAAAAATTTGGTGCATCATAGCACCATAAGTAGGGATACCCGAATAGTTGGGGGTATGGGAAATGGTGCAACCGAAGTAAGGCCAGATAATAATAAAGGGCAAGATCAGCCTGGGCTACATCACCAAGGTAATGTGTTCAGTAGCACTATCTAGAACCTGGAGCCACGGGCCCAAACTGTGGCTGCCTGCATTTACCCATTCATCCGGGACTATGGGCTAAGGAGGTCTGCAAAGAACTGATGTGGGACGTCCTTCCGCATGCTGCGCATACTTGCTGCTTTTATTGGTTGATGAATAAAGCTGTTTTGGCCAATGGGCAGGCAGGAATTCTGAACAAAGAGACAGGGAAAAGAAAGACAGAGGAGAGACGCTATGTAGCTGCCGAGGAAGCAAGAGACCCGGCGTGACTGGTAAGCCAAGACCATATGGAGATACACAGATTGGTAGAAATGGGTTAACAACTCAGAGAGTGCTGGTCAATAAGAAGCCTGAGCTGTTGGCCCAACAGTCTTTAGTTCATAGAAGCCTCTGTGTGTTTATTTGGGACTAAATGGCTGCAGGACTGGGAGGGACAGAAACTTTCTTCTACAAAGGACAGAGAGCATCTACAGCCTGACATTGTGGATATGCAATAGAATATGGGCAGGCCCAGGTCGAGTCCAGATCTCTGAAGCATCTCCCTGGGCTGTTTCCACATCACGGTCCGTCATTAATCGGTAGCTACTGGTTAAGGTTATGAAGTCACCACGCGGTACCTCCATCCAGCTTATTATATCTTTCTGCACTTCTGCCTTCAGCGACAGCAAAACAGCTGTCATGTCATTGTGACATCTGGGCACCCTGTGTTTTACTCTGCATATCTAATGACCTCAACCAAAAAGGGAAACGAGAGCTCTATAGCGTGACTTGCTCAAGTAAGAAACTCCTGGCTTAAGAGAAAAGCTGTTTAATTTGTGATTGCTCAAAAGTCATTACTGGGATAAACTTTGACAGAATTTTGCTGAAGACCAGTGCCAAGCTCGTGAATCCATAGTTGGTGGAGGATTTGTTAATGACGGTTTCTGAAAATAAGGCGTTTGGCCTTTCTTAGTCCTCAGTGTGAGCCGTTTTCTGTGAGTCTCTTGTGTTAGCGACAGTGATTCTGTGTCCTCTCCGGGAGATCTCCAGTAGCTTGGAGAGTGCTTAGGCAAGCATCACAGATCTATATACAGCTATTATGGCATTTCTCCTGTCTTAGGGGCTTCCCGCCCTTTTATTGAGTTGTTTAGGTCCCTTCAGTAAAATATCCTTCAACCTGACACCAAAGAAAGAGCAAAATGGGGAAATTCACTTATTCATTGTGTGTGTCTTAGACAGGACCTTGCTATGTAGGTCTGGCTGGCCTAGTGCTCATTATGTAGCCCAGGCCGTCCTTAAACTCCCAGCAATCCTCCTGCTTCAGCCTCTCAAGTACTGGGATTATGGACATCCATCGCCATGCCCATTCAACTATCTCTCTGATTCTCTTTGCTCTTATTTCTTGAGCAGCTTTTATGTGTTGTTGGTGATTGTAAATTTTCTCCCAAACTTCAATTTCCTAAAACCATTCACTCTCCTATTTCACACATTTTCTTTCAATGTTTATCATTTCCCAAAGTCTAAAGTGCACAGGACAATTGATGGTCCCTGAGGGCACATGTCTGAACTCAATCTGAGTCACAGGGGGAATTTAGTGTTTCAGGAATCTTATCAGCGATAATAGATCATGAGGAAATCTTCAAGGGGCAGGCGCCTTGCAAGTCAACCCTGACAGGAGAAAGGGCCCTTGAACTCCTCACTTCCGTGAGGTTCCACTGCAGCATGCCTCTTTTGCTTTAGTGGGGTAGAACAGGCTCTGGGTGAAGAAGACAGATGATCTCATGGACCTCACCTCTTAATTTGTAGACGGAGAGTTCCGCTGAGGTGACTTCTACAGTTCCGCCCACTTGGAGATCTGCACAGCAGCAGCAGCTGAAGGAACAGTGAGTATCAAAACTCCTGCGGCCAGGCACGGTGCTGGGCGCACTTTTAGTCCCAGCACTTGGGAGGCAGAGGTAGGTGCTTCTCCATGAGTTCAATGCCAGCCTGAACTACACAGTGAGTTCCAGAGTTGTGGGATATCCCAGGTTACATAGAGAGACCTTGTCTCAAAAAATAAAAACAGAACATGTCTCCGTTCCCTATGTTTCTCACTGTTGATGAAGCAGGCAGCCCAACACCACCATGTCTTCCCAGACATGGTGGACTGTAATCCTGCAAACCATGAGGAAAAATAAATCCTTCCCGGGTTAAGTCACTTTTTAAAAAATAAATTTCTAATTTATTATTATTATTATTATTATTATTATTATTTTGGTTTTTAGAGACAGGGTTTCTCTGTGGAGGCCGTCCTGGAACTAGCTCTTATAAACCAGGCTGCTGTAGAACTCACAGAGATCAGCCTGCCTCTGTCTCCCGAGTGCTGGGATTAAAGGTGTGCGCCACCAATGCCCAGCATAAAATAAATTTTTATTTAAATTGGAAATAATCTTATTTTATATATCAATCCCAGTTCCCTCTCCATCCCATCCTCTCATGCCCTTCACTGATCACCCCAATTCCAACCCCCATCCACTCCCCAGGGAAGATGAGGCCTTCCATGGGGAATCATCAAAGTCTGTCACATCATTTGGGGCAGGGCCTAGTCCACCCCCTATCCCCTACCTCCCCATCCCCCCACCCCCGTGTATCTAGGCTGAGAGAGAATCTCTCCATGTATCTGGGCTCCCAAAGTCCATTTGTGCACTAGGGATAAACACTGGCTCCACTGCCAGAGGCCCCATAGACTGGCCAGGCCTTCTAACTGACATGCACGTTCAATGGGCCTGGTTTGGTCCTATGCTGGTTCCCCAGCTGTCATACTGGGGTCCATGAGCTCCCACTTGCTCAGGTCAGCTGTTTCTGTGGGTTTCTTCAGCCTGGTCACTTTAAAAATGTGTGTGTGTGTGTGTGTGTGTGTGTGTGTGTGTGTGTGTGTGTATGTCTGCATGCCCCATATCTGGTTACCCATGGAGGCCAGAAGGGGGTTTTGGATCCTTTGGATCTTGAGTTACAGGTAGCTGCAAGCCACCAGACATGGGAATCAAATTCAGGCTTGCTGGAAGAGCAGCAAATGTCCATAACTACTGAACTATGTTTCCGGTCCTTAAGCTGCTTCTGGTGAGGTATTTGGTCACAGGAGTCAGAAAAAGTAACTAATGCAGGCCTCAAAATGATCTATTATGGTCATTTCACCTCAGAGATATAGAAGTCAGAGTCCAGAGAGGTTCAGTGACTTGCCGGAAATGAGTGCCGGGCACTCAACGCCACCTAAGAAAATGATTTATTGAGGAAATACATCATCCTGGAGCAGAGGCCCAGTTTCCCACTGTGCACATGGTGTTCTTCCCAGACACCTCTCGGTGGCTGACAGACCTTCCTCTGTTACTTATTCGGCAGCCACCCTCTCTCCTGCCCGCCTTCTTGACACAGGGCCCTGGCAGTGCGCGGTTTGGAGACAGGCAGCACGGCGGTGACATGGTGGCAGGCCCCATCCTTCCTGAGCGGATGGATCGCCTAAACTGGGTTCGTGGACCTCACCCCGTATGCCATGACTGACATGGAAAGGATCCATGACCCGGCAGCATCCAGCGAGACCTGCAAGAGCAAGAGGCTTCGGGAGAAGGTTAGCCATCGACCTCTCCACACCTAGGAGACTAGCTTCAGCCCTGAAGCTGTCAGGGGCCACACTGTGGCTGCAGAATAGAGACAGAAGTGCTGAGTCTGCAGAGGCACGGATCCATTTAACCAGACTTGAGCCGCCCGTCCCTGCTTCCTGTTTTCCTGGCGAAGCAAACTTCTACGAGAGTATTGCTGATCATTGTTTTTATCGTTTGCGCCAGGACTCATCCCAACCAGTATTACTGGCTGCCGCCGCCTGGTAATGGAATGACGTCAAGGGTAGCTTCTTGTTCCATTTTGTTTTTGAAGATCAGGTCGGCGACAGGTGTGGTGCTGCACACCTGTAATCCGGCTACCAGGAGGCTGAAGCAGGAGGACCTGAAGTTTGAGGGCGGGGTGGATACCCTGTCTCAAAACAACAACAGCAACAGCGACACAGCCTGTCCCAGAAGTTTCTCTACGTTCTCCCTGGAGAACTAATCATCCTCTCTGTGTTGAGGGTGATGCAGAGGAAACAAGGCGTGGGGTGTGAGTTGGACTGGATAAACTACAAGGCTGTGCAAACAGCGAGCTTCTGTAACGCCACAGCAGGTGTTGTCTTTATGAGCCTCATGTTTGCAGGGACTGAGGAAGCCACGCCACCGTTACTAGCTGTGTGACCTTGAAATGAGGCTTCAGCTTCTGTTTCCTCGTTGGTAATACTGAGGTTATCTGAATAAGGAGTGAATGGGTGTAAAGCATCCTATGCAAACTAAAGCCTTGCTTGTTATACATTTGTAATGATTCCATGTAACCGCTGGCTTTCCTTTGCTCTCAGGTGACCGTTGCCTATTTAAAATGGAAATTATCGAAGAGATGTGATCCATCAATCACAGATTTAGTGACAAACAGAAACACTTGACCCCGTACACAGAAGAGAGACTTACTGAAGGCCAGTCGGAAAGTTATGAAATGACTGAGAGGGTGAAAGGCTGTGCCTCCAGGAATAAGACTTAATCACAGTGCAGAAATACCTGGTGGAGATATGGTGTCTACACAGACAGGACAGGTCACCAGCTCCGTGAATGGACGTAGGGTTTGGTGGTCATCGTTAATAGCTCTATCTCTGGTACCTCTAGGAATGGGTAACCCATGGCCACCATTGCCAGAGTGGGTTTTGTGGAACCCCTTCTTGATGTCCTAGTATCTACTAAATGGGGAGTCCTGTGTCTGGGTCTTAGCTGCAAGGGAAGCTGGAACAGCCTTTCTCCTGGGTTAGATGAGCCCAGGAGACACAGAAATCTCTGAGCTGGGTTAAGTGTGTAAATTAAGTTAATGTCTGTGTTTTTGTTTGGGGGAGGTTGATTTTTATTTATTTGTTCATTTTGGTTTGGGTACAGGGTCTCACTCTGTAGTCCAGGCTGGCTTGGAACTCACTCTGTTGCCTAGACTGTCGTGAAACTCGGAGCCACACTCCTGCCTTGGCCAGGAGTGCTGGCATTACAGGCGAGACCTTACGCAGTTCTGGGTTTTGTTTTGTTCTGGCACAGGTTCCCGCTGTGTAGCCCGAGCTGTCCTTAAACCCAGCTTGCTCTTGCCTCAGCATCTCAAGTGCCAACATCATAGGTGTGCACCGCCACGTCTAGTCTTGGATGTCTAGGCTTTTAAAGAACAAAGTTAACCATCACCCCGATGTTTCCAGGGAGAAGTAAGGAGAATGAAGTGCAACAGGAGCACTGTGGCTTACCTAGTTTTCCCAGCAAGAAACCCCTCTGCCACCTGGTTCTTACTCACCTCCAGTGTCAACCTTCTCCGGCATCTGACGCGTTACTGCTCCCTCCTTCCCAGGTTAAGCCTTTCTCCTTTCTCCCTCCAGCTGCTGTTGTGGTCACCTACCGGTCTTAGCTCCTGGCATTCCTTGGCTCTTCCTTCTCTAGACCATGAGCGTTTAGGGGGTGTGCATCTGATTTCAGGGCTCACTGAGTTATTAATGACTGGCTGTTGACTTTGGGCTAGAGTAACAGCGGGACAGGTAGCAGCTAGATTTGCTCTGGCCTCCCCGTGCTCTGACCCCTTGCACTCCCCTTGATTTCCTCTCCCCTCCCCTTGTAGAGGTCAGAGGACAGCCATCCTAACCTTTTATTTTCTTTGAGGCAGGGTCTCTTTTTTAAATTTTTTATTTTCTGCCCCAAGGGCTGGTACAGCTGGCCAGTGAAGTCCCAGGGATCCTCCTGTCTCAGCCTCCCGTCTCTCTGTGGAAGTGCTGGGATTATAGGCACTTACAGCACACACCCATCTTTTACATGGGTTCACGAGATTTGAACTTGGGTCCTCATACTTGCCAAGCAAACACTTCTATACACTAAGCTGGGCCTTTAGCCCTCAATTTTGTCTTTTAAAGCCTGAAACTAGACCTTTAGGAACTTCATAAATTTTATCTGCTCTCACCAAAATGGAACTCTCTTCACAGTCAACCATAGGTTTTGTCAGCCTGGAGGAAAAGTAATTATTTGAGTGAATTTGGGGATTCATTATCTGGTAGCCAAGAATTAAGTACAAGGTCGGGTCAGAATGGATCTGTTTATTTTAATCCACACCATTTTGCTTTTGGTATTAAAAAATAAAGATGGTACATTTTGTTGATAAAAGTGGAAGCTCATGCTTGAGGATTTGAACAGGGAGGTATTTTTGTGAGTTTAAATTGCAAAACAGTATAACTACTTTTAAAATAGAATATAGGTATTAAGACAGACAAATCTGTTATATATATTTCATAACTCATTTATTTTTATTTTATTTGCACTGGCATTTTGCCTGCATGTGTGTCTGTGTGAGGGTGTCAGATCTTGAAGTTACAGGCGGTTGTGAGCGGTCATGTGAGTGCTGGGACTTGAACCTAGTTCCTCTAGGAAGAGCAGTCAGTGCTCTTAACAACTGAACCATTTCTCCAGTCCCATGTTGTATGCATTTTTAAACACACGAATCAAACATTTGTTCGTAAAATATACATTGTTTGCTTTGTAGAATTTAGTAAAATTTAACAATATGCTCGTTATTTAAAAATAGAACAAGCAGATATTTTTCTCCTTTTCTAATAATGCTGCAGGGATTCCTTTGAGGCCAGATAGGTTGGAGGGCAGGGTAGAACGTCCATCACACCCAGGGCGGGAGCCACAAGGCCAGGGTCCTAGCCTTGGAGAGCACCTCACTGATTAGGGAGCTATGCAGGCTGCAGAAGGCGCAGGCAGGTGTGGGAGCTGAGGTGAGGGCAAACAGGTCGGCCCTGAGGATCACAGGTGGATCCAGGACAGGGCTCGCAGCGGGTTCTTAGCTACGACGTGGCCGTCAGCTAGAAGACAGTGAACAGGAAGAGACACGGGCAGGGGTTGGGGCAGCACAGGTCCCTCTAGCCCTTCTGAGATGTCAGGGACTTGAAGGGACCCAGAAGTGCACGGTGCTTGCTCCTCTCCAGCCTCTCCCTGCCAGCTTCAGGAGGGAGAACCACCTGAGCTCCAGGCCAGCTGCAGCCGGGCATCTACCGCACACCTCCGAGCTCCAGGCCAGCTGCAGCCGGGCACACCTCCGCACTTGACTGACGGCTGGTGGCTCATGACCTCCCCCAGAGAGGAAAGGCTGCAGCAACTGGTGCTGCAGCCAGACGGGACACGGATGAGAGAAAATGTTAAGAGGGGATTCAGAGGCACTGAGAGAACACAGAGCCAGCCGGGCGGTGGTGGCACCTGCCTTTAATCCCAGCACTGGAGAGGCAGAGGCGGGCGGATCTCTGTGAGTTCGAGGCCAGTCTGGTCTACAGAGTGAGAATGTAGAGCTGCCAAAATGGCTGTGGGACTCCAGGCAATTCTCGTCCCTCTCTGGCTCTAGGTTAAGAACCTACGCCTTGGGTATTAAAGAGGGATGTGGGGGAAACTGAACTTCAGTAATGTGGCCTAAGGAGCTCACGCTCTGCCTGTAGAAATAGCTCTCTAGTCATAGAACCTTGCGAGGGGGGGAAGACGATGAATGTTTACGGTTCAGGGAACTGAATTCTTCATCTGCCCCTGACTCCTTTCTAGGAAGATGTGGAGGTCACAAACATGGTCGGAGGAGGGGAGCTTCATTCTGTTCGGATTGACTCAGACTGCCTTTGTGGCGAAAGCTGCTCTTCAGAGGAGAGTGCACTGTGATACAGTAATGCCAAGGTTAGCGTTTCACAAGTAAGGCCAAAGGCATCTGAGATGGATGAAGGCTACGTTCTCCTGGGCTTGTGTGGTCTTCCTAAGGAAACAGTTCTAGTCCCGACACCTGCCTTTAGACGGAAGGGGTCAGTTAGTCCCACAGACAGAAAGCTGACTAAAGGTTAGTGTCCATCTTCGCCGTTTCACATGTGGGAAGTGATGCTCTCCCCGTAGGGATGCGGGCCGCGCAGGAAGAGTCCAGTGAGATGTGAGCACCATCTGTGGAGTCAGAATGTGAGAGAGCAAAGCAGGCAGGGTCATGTAACTCCTTCCTGCCGGACCAGCCAGCAGGAGGCACAGCCTGGGCCAGGTGCCTTCTCAAACCAGATTGCCTCTGGTCCCTGTCTCTGAAATTCCTTCCATGTAGGCCCCAGACATTGACATGCGCACCTATGCACATACATACACACAGACACACACACACACACACACACACACAGACACACACACACAGAGACACACACACACACACACACACAGAGAGAGAGAGAGAGAGAGAGAGAGAGAGAGAGAGAGAGCTGCTGCTATCACCACCTTGCATAAACACTCAACTTCCGAACCAATACCTGAAGACGGTCTTCCCTCAGGAAACAGGCTAACACCAACACCTTCCCTGACCCTGCGTGTGCTGGCACAGGAAAGGGGGCTCTGTGAGCTACCCCTACTAGAACAGCTCCCAAAATGATAGAGGCAGTTCTAAGGGCGTATGCCACTGACTTGCCTTCTAAGACGTCTAGGCTCCAGGGCTCTGTGTGACCTCCACAAAGACCACTCACACCTAGACAGAGGCCCATTCCCAGGAATTCCTGGGATGCAGTTCTTGAGAAGCCCCGGGGAAGAGGGAACATGTTGTAGGCAATGGGAGAAAAAGCAGCTCCCTGGTGTTCAGGTCCTCCCCCTCCGTCAGATGCCTTAGGCTGCCTCTTCCCGCTTTCTGGCTGCCCGCTGCTCCGGATTCCAGTCAAGACTCAGCCGCTGGAGACGAAAGTGTGTCTGGAAGGCTGAAGGGTGACCGCTAGTAACCCAGCTGCACATGATGGTGGCCAGCCGCCAGCTGGCGGCCTCCCCAGCCCCCAGGAAGCACGGCTCCTGCACTGTCCCGGCCCAGTGGCAAGTCCAGGGTCTCACACGAAGCTGGTCTCTAATGCCCCCCAGATGACAAGCGAAGTCCAGACGAGACTTCCTAAAAGCCTTAAGCCAGCTGGTGCATCAAAACTGTAGGAAACACACAAGGCCTACTCGCCGCCTCCGAACGATAGCTCGGAAGACTGTTTCCCAGGCGTGGTGTCATTCCATCTGCCACTCAGGGGAGGGTTCCGCCTGCTCCCAGCCTGGGCACACCGCTCAGCTCTTCTGTCTTTGCTGTCTCCTCCTAAAGTGGACAAAACTAGGAGACCAGCGTTGCTTTCTGGCTGTGTGCCTTTGGAGAGTGTATGTAGTTGCCTTCATTTTTTTTTTTTCACTCATCAAGTGATGTTAAAAAGTAGACCAAACCTCATGGGGCAGGTAGAAAACTCAAGTGAGTTAACTCACCCAGAAGCACTTAGGACAATGTCTGGCTTTTAGAAGGTGCCAGAAACGATTACCGTTTCTGTTGTTTTTATTAATCGCACAATTATTAAGAGGGCTAATAGGATAACAGCTGCCATTTATCGAATATTGACCACGGTGTCCTCACACTGGGCTCAGCTGTTCACAGGAAGTACCTCACGGATAACGTTAAGTACATGTAACTGCCTGTCTAGCACATAGATAGCCACTCTGGGTCTTTCTTCCTCTTCCCCTTCTACAGAGGAGGAAGCACCTCAGAGTCTCGGTGGCTTGCTCAAGGCCCACAAAGGAATGAGAGCTTAAACTCAGATCCTTGTGTTCTGACCTACAGATCTCCCTGATCCTGCAGCCTTGCATCCTCTCCCGCACTCTTCCTCCCCCTCCCCCTGACCCTGGACATCTGCTCCACAGCCAACTGGCTTCCCTTCAAGGAATTTTCCAGGGACACATCTGCTGCTCAGTTGCAATATCCCTGGGGTCATCTGCCTGCAGTTGTTTTCGGTCTGTGCTGTGAAGGATTGAGCTTGCCTTCTAACAGCCTTTTCCCTTCAGGTTCCAGAAAGGAAACTCTTGTAGGTAGAGACGGGCGCAAGGGAAGGAAGTGGGAGAATCCACACCCGGGGGCAAACTGAACCCCATGTCCGGTCGTGCCTTCTTCAAGGGTGATGATGCGTGGGCTCAGCTGCCTGGACTCAACTGGCCCCGACCCGGTCTTTACAGCCGAATGTCGCAGTGCTGAGGTTCTGTGATGGAGTTTTCTCCCAAACAGGTCTCTGAGATGAGAAGATGCAGTCTACAAGCTACAGCAGCCCCCGGGCGCTACCACGTGCCGAGCCTGCATGGAAGCTCGTGCCAAGCCTGCATGGAAGCTACCACAGACTAAAGACAGGCAGTTGACACAGCGGGCAAGCACCTTCTCTCGAGGCCACAGCCGCCTCCTCCGTCATGCTGAAACACCAAGAGTCATCTATCAGGGTTGCTCCGGGCACCCAGGGAGAGAATGGCTGTCTGGGTGCCGGGCCCACCCCGCGGCCGAACGCGGGAGAGGGGCTGGCACACCCCAGCTGGTTGGCCAGTTGGAGTCCCACTCGGTGCGCAGTGAGGTGGGAGAGCCAGGAAGAGAAGACTACGACGTGAGACATGGGTTGGGCGCAGAAGAAGAGAATCTGTAAAGGGAGGCTTTTCCCTTGAGAGAAGCTTTCCCGCCCGCCTGGTTCCAGAGCCGCATCAGTCCCAAATAAACACACAGGAGGCTATATTAATTATGAAGCTGTTGGCCTTGCTTGTTTCTTACTGGCTAGCTCTGACTTAAGTAATTACCCCATAATTGTTCATCTAAGTATGTCTATTACCGGAGAAGTTTCTGGGCTTCCTACCCCATGGCGTTACATCTCGACTCTCTTGTGTTTCTCCTTCCCAGAGTCCTCCTGGACTCCTAGTCCCTCCTATCTTGGTTCCCTATTGGCTCAACAGTGCTTTATTGACATAAGACTTCCCCAACAAGAATCCTTTGCCTAGGGCAGGTGGCTCCGACCCAGGAGACGTTTTTTTACAAAATGCTTGCGACTCTCACTTAGCACAGGAGACAGGGGAGCTGCGTAAGGATGCTATGAGACAGCCGCGGGAAGATGTGGGCAGGAAGGTGACAAGGGGGCGACAAGGCTGCTTTAGCATTTTAGGCCCAGTGTTCACGTCGAGAGCTCAGCGTTGCAGTAACAGAGGCACAGGGAGAAGACACCTGGAGCGGTGGCAAGTAACATGGCAATGGCCACGTGTTCAGACCCCGTGCAAACCGTTAAACGTGTGCATTGTTAAGAGTCATTGAAACTCAACTAAATCATGTTGAAAATCCATCCCTTCCTAGATGTTTTCACTTTCTGTGTTTGTGTGCGTGAGTGTACGGATCGTGTGTGTGCAGGTGTTCACGGGGGCCAGAAGAGGACGCCGGACCCCCTCTAACCATCTCCCCAGCCACCAGCGCAAGTCTGGAGCCTTTCAGTCCATTTTGCTACCACGTGTGCTTTCAAAGCCCCTTACACCTGTTATACCCGTGTGATGGAAAATTACAGCTGCGTGCCGCTGCGCTCCAAGTCAGTCTATACTCAATGGTATCGCATCTTGAAACCATCCACAGAGTATTTCTATTGTAGAGATAGGGGAGGCCTGCAATTCCTCATCTCCCTACCCTGGAGAGCTGGTTATTAAATATTTACCAGAGCAGCGCTAACGAAGAGTCTCCCCGCTGTTACAGCGCCTCCAGTGGATTGGGTTTTACGAAACACCAAGTTGTGCTGCCGAACACTTAGGCTACCTTTCCTGCATTGCTTAAATATCTTCCCGCCACAATGTAGTAAGACTGTTGTGGGGCATACATATCCCAAGGACTGTTGGGAAAGCTTATGTCTGCTGCGACTCAGACAGTGTGAGGGTTTCTTGAAGCGTGTTGCTGGAGGGAAACGACACAGGACGAAGCTAGAAACAAAATAAAAATTGCAGGATGTCCACAAAAAGATTCTGTTCAACTAGTCGTTGTTTCAAACTCATCGCAGGCAAGCGTTGGGCAGAGGGAGAGGAAAGGGCACACACAGTTAGCTCAAGACACTTGCAGAACGAGGGAGGAGCTGCCCTCTCCCCATCAAGCTGAGAGCAGCACAGAGCTGTCAGGTTAAATCATGACTTCCCAGTGCTCCTATCTCTCTTCATTATTCTCCCATGACACTTGAGACCTTGCAGCATGCAATATAACTTACTTACTTTTCCATAATTATTTACTGACCGCTTTCCTTCTCCAGCATGCAGTCTGTGGGGGGCAAAATGTGAGGCTTGTTTATTTCACTGTCCAGAACAGTTCCTCCTACTGAATTATTTGTGATTTTTTTGTTTGTTTGTTTGTTTGTTTTTTGGTTTTTTTGAGACAGGGTTTCTCTGTATTGTTTTGGAGGCTGTCCTAGAACTCACTCTGTAAACCAGGCTGGCCTCGAACTCACAGAGATCTGTCTGCCTTTGCCTCCTGAGTGCTGGGATTAAAGGCGTGTGCCACCAACACCCGGCATGATTTTTTTTTAAGGAATACTATTCAGTATACAGCAAGAGACCCGTGGGTAGAAAGTGACCACAGTGCTGCCTAGAAATACGCTCTAAGCTGTATGCTTAATGTCTTAGTTCGGTTTCTACTGCTGTGATAAAACACCGAACAAAGAGAAACTTGTGGGGCAGAAGGGGCTCATTTCACCTCCCAACACTCAGGCCACATTCATCATCCAGGGAAGTCGGAGCAGGCCCTTGAGGCAGGACCCTCGATGCAGGGACTGAAGCAGAGGCCATGGACGAGTGCTGCTGACTGGCCTCTCATCCCGTGCTGACCAGCCTGTTTCCTCACAGCATCCAGGGCCACCTGCACAGGTGCGGCACCTCCCACAGGGACCTGGGCCCCCTCACACTCACGTGGATCAAGAAAATGCCCCAAAGGTGTGTCTGCAGGCCAGTCTGATGAGGGATTGTCTCAACTGAGATCCACCCGTCCCAAATGAGTCCAGCTGGTATCAGGTTGACAGAAAATTAATCAGCGCAAAGATATATTAGACAAAGCCCACTGGCCAGGAGGTGGTGGTGCATGTGTTTGATCCTAGAATTGGAAAGCAGAAGCAGAACAGTCAGGACTGCATAAAGAAACCCTGTGACAAACAAAATTAAAGGAAGGGAGGGAGGAACAGAGGGAGGGAGGGGAGGGAGGGAGGGGAGAGGACGGGAGAAGAGAAGAGGGGAGGGAAGAAGAGAAGACCAGAGAGGAGGGAAGGGGAGAGAGGGGAAGAGAGGAGAGAAGGGGAGGGGAGGGAAGAAGAGGGGAGATGAGAGGCCTACTAAACAAACTTTAATTCCTGCTCCACCATTAAAAATTACTCTGGCATAGGGTGAACCCACTGAATCTCATGTCCTCAGATGTAAAGTATCCAGTTTGGACAAGGCTGTTCCTAAATTGGACAAGGAAAAATGCAGCGAGTATCTAGAAAACATGCCAACCACAGCACATCTCCCACAACACCCAAAGCCACTTTTACATAAAACTATCCGTCTGTGACTCTGACTCTGGGAGCTATGTGCCAAGGACCATACAGCCACCTGGCTTTCTCCAAGCCCCCACCCGGTCTCTACAGTCATATAAGGTTGGAAACTTCATGGGCATATGGCCCGCGGCAGGCAGAAGCTTATGCTGTGTCCTAGGGGAAGGTCTTTACTAACAGAAAGAACTAGACTGTTCCTATTCTACTAATAAGATTTTACATTGGGGAATGCTGATAAAATCGGGCACTCTGTGGAAGCTTAGCAGCTAAAGTTTGAGAGAGGTTAAAGAGACTACAGTTAGCTAACCATCTGAAAAGGAGGCCAGGGCTTAGTAAGAATCAGTGAGCAGACCCAGGGAAACACGCCTAAAGGACACTTTGGCTGCATTTCTTCAGGGTTACTTTGGAGGGACTGCTCTACCCTCCACCCACAGTTACACATAGTGTGGCCACATTTTGCTTCTGAACTTGGGTCCCTTTTGCCTACAGATTTTGTTTAACTAGCTTTGATTGTGTCTCTTAAGCCAAAAAGGTTTCAGTTCAGAGGCTGAGGGTGAGTCTCACAAACCAACCAATCATGATTGATTTGTCCTGTACTAGAACTCCCGTTAATGGCATGCATGATTCTGTTCTTAGTCATCTCATTGCTTGAAGGCAAGATGTCTTCATTTCACACAAACCCATTTTAAGAGCCAAAAAAGAAAAGATGATATTTGCAACAGGATAGAGGGAGCTAGAATTAATGTTCCAGTCCCAGTACGATGAGGCACCTTAGGCATGTATCATATAATCCTTGCTTCAACCCTGTAAGGTAGATGCATGCTCCCTATTAATAAATGGAGGCTCTAAAGGATGGTATTTCTTATATTTTCCCATTGAGAATTCCTGCTCTCCTCCTCCACTGTCTTCATCTTCTTTTTTCAGACGTAGTTTCATATAACCCAGTCTGGCCACAAGCCAACTATGTAGCTAAAGATGACCTCAACTCTTTCTCTTCCTGCCTCCACTACCAAGTGCTGGAAACAGAAGTGTGTGCCACCACTCCCTGCTCTGCACGTCTTTTCTTTGGTTTCTCAGTTTTGAGCTCAAGCCTCAATATAAAATAGAAAGCATGGAGGGTGTGTCAGCAGCACTCTCCCCCTTCTAATATCCGGAAGTCCAACAGAAGTGAAAAACCTACCAGTGAAGGCAGCCTTCAAAAATCTTAGAGATCCCAGGACTTTGGAAAGTGTTGGAAGCCATCACCAGGCCTACGCAGGGCTGACACGGGAAGGGTGATTTGATACTAAGACTGAAAAGCATGAAGACATAGTGACTCGTTCCAACATTAATGAGCTGTCACCCATTCTGCATCAAATCAATGTTTTCCCAGTAAGATGATAGTGACCTACCAAAGCCTTCCCTGCCCACAAACCACCAGTAGAGAAGTTAAGTGAGCCTTCACTGCCATCCAGAAGGTCAAATGAATTGACACCCGGTGGTAAGAGGGATGCAACCAGTTTTTAGTCTCATCTCAGTATTTTTCTCCTTGCCTTACTCAAGAATGAGTCTGAAGTATCCACCTGTGGAATCAGGCTCTTTCTCTGGTGATTCGTTACTTCTGATGAGATGGAGGCATTCTCAAAACTCTTTGTGTCCCTTCCCTTGATCTGATGAACACAGGGGCTAATTTCACTTTCAGATCCACGGTCAGGGATCCTATCCTCAAAACCAATGAGCTCTGTCAATCTCAGCACCAGAAATCTGAATGACTTGGGACAATTAGAGGCTAAATTCCAATTATTGAACAAGGCCAGTGTATCATATAGAATATAATTATCCTCTGTGGTGGCTGGGAAGAAAATGGTCCCCAAAGGGGTGGCGTTATATATGACCTTGTTGGAGCAAGTGTGTCACTGTAGGGGTGGCCTCTGAAGTCGCTTTTGTTTAAGCATCCCTCAGTATGACACTCAGTCAACTTCCTGTTGCCTGAAAGATGGAGCACTCTCAGCTCCAGCACCCTGTCTGCCCGCACACTGCCGTGCTCCCCATCATGACGACTGTGAACTGAATCTCTGAAACTGCAAGTGAGCCTCCCCAATTAGATGTGTTCCTCTTAAGTTGTAGGTCTCTTTGCAGTAATGAAAACCCTAAGACAAGAACAATGGAAAGCTAAGAACTTGATGTTGGGCCCCAGCTCCATGGGGTCTCTGTGAGT